CTTGCTACGTGTACTGCGTTAGGCTAACCGAGACTTGTCATTTGCACTTATATATTGTTGCTCTTTTGTTAGTTTTGACTGCTTTTATTGTCCTCATTTGTAAGTCGCTTTGGATAAAAGCGTCTGCTAAATGTCTAAAAAATAAAAAATTAAATGTATAAAAAATAAATATTTTGCATATAGAATTTTGGACATTGGGACATTTTTTCATGCACATTTTCCCATTTTCCTATTTTTCTTCAACACAAAATGAATAAATGAATGAATATTTTTTTAATTTAAATTGTGAAGTGTTTATAGATTATGGTATTATTTAGATATTTTAAAATCTATTAAATAAATATTTTTCTGTTCTATTTCTATATTACAGTTTTTACTACAGGCTTCATTGTCATATAATAATAATACAAAAAAAATTATGACGTTAAAATCATCTTTTTCTTTAGGCAGTTGGTCTATATCATCTTGAGATGGTTATGACAAAACAAAACAAAAACAAAAAAATTGGATTAATTTAATCGTTCAGCAGATACATATTTTAGGTGGCTCACAATAACTTAAATAAATGCTAGAAAGACCTGACATTTGACAACACAAATGTCTGTTTGTAGGTCTGATTCTATCTAAACATAACATCTAAATTATTGAACTGTGTGTTGATATTAACCACCAAATCTGTTGTATCCACAGCTTCAGCAGCCAGTTTCAAAAACTACACTGAAAAAACATTTAGTGTATGTTTGGTGTTGGTTTTCACATTAGAAATTACATTGAATAACATACACAATAACACTGATTTAAACATGAAATTTTGAAGTAGAAAGACTGAAATTGTGTATTCTTGTAAAACATACTTCAGTCATTTTAATCTTGTCTTATTTACAACTTGAAAAGTTTTTTTTTTTTTACATTGTACCTGATAATGTTGCATGCAGCTATTCATCAGACTAATGCCTAATATTCATTTTCATTTCATGTTTATCAAATTTTTCTTCTTTAGATATTTTGCCATGTATGACAGTTTGTTTTTGCAGTGTAAGTGTGTGTGTTTTGCATGAAGCAGCACACAGTTTCATGTTAAGCTCTTTTATTTTCGTGGTCTTCTGAGATTTAGTGACCTTTTCTCTGCTGTTCGATCATCTGCGGCTCCTGTGGTTGTTTTTCCGCTGCCATCACGTCCCTCTCGCAGGAAACATGTTGCTTTGTTTGTGTGTCCCGCTGATGGGCGGCTCTGCTTCCACGGTCACGTCTGTCCACTTCACTCTTTGTGTTTCTGTCTCTCTCATGTCTCCTGCCGTCTGTGCCGGTCGCTGTCTCTGGCTGCTCTTAGACTGAGACAGGACTCTGGTCTGTGTGAGGTTAAAGCCGGTCTCCTGAAGGCAGGTTTAGCAGGAGCGTGAGCAGGTGACGAGCGGCACAGACGGTCTGGGCAATCAAGCGGTTCAATCTGATTTACCTCCCTGAAGCCCGTCTGTGAGCGCAATCCTGGCATGTGATGAGAGAGAGAGAGATGGCTTTTGGAAAAATTGTGTCACGTGTCGTATCAAAATCATTGTGATTGTTAAAGGAAGAATAACAATCAAAATGGACACTAAATGATAAAAGTAAGACTTCTATCTTATCAGAGAACACGTTCCTTTCTAAAAAAAAAAAATCTTTTTTTTTTTTAAGTTTTAAACATAAATCAAAAATTTAATACGGTTTATATTTAAAACAAAACAAAAAATGAGACATGATTACAAAAATAAACTTTATTCCATTCACATTCTCTCAAGTCTTATTATTTCAAACAGTTTTGCTTTTCGAGTAACTGCGTCTTATTTTAAGGATGTTTACATATTTTATTGAAACATAAGGACAAAAAGTTAAGGAAAGAAAAATCACAAATCACATTGAAGATCTTGATCGTTTCTTCTAGACAGCAATGAGATTAAATTGAGAGCAAATGGAAATGTTTGAATTCTCCTGCTTTTCAGATGTTTATCCTCTAATTTCATAATGAGATCATGTTATTATTAAAGTAAACCATTAAATGATAATGATTTATCTAATAATAATAGAGTATATTTTAATATGCATTTTGAATGTAAAGTTGTAAATAAACATCATGATTGTATTTGTTGTACTGAACTGTATTTATTTATTTATTTATGTTAAAGTAATTTCGTGCTTAATTATACAAAAATTATTATTCATTTTTTTTTGGAGTGAAATATGACCGATCTTCGTAAGATTCAACAATAATTAAACAAAAGTAATCGTCAATAGAAGATCCCCACATTGATATTAGCATGGTGTGTGTGTGTGTGTGTGTGTTTATATGACAGGTGGTAGAAGGGTTTCTGGGTCAGTAATAAATGCTGAACACATGCTGTTCAGTCGTTCTTTTTTATTTGCTTTATTAGTCATTTAAAAGCGGTTTGAGAAACAAGAGCCTGTGTTCCAGCACCATCTGGGTGTGTGTGTGTGTGTGTGTGCACGCATGTTTTTGTGACAAATGAGGACAAAAATTTGTATAATGACATGGGTATGACATAGGTATTATAAGGAGAAGGTGACTTTTGAGGACATTACCCCATGTCCCCATTTTTCAAAAGGCTTATAAATTATACAGAGTGAGTTTTTTTGAGAAAGTAAAAATGCACAAAGTTTCCTGTAAGGGGTAGGTTTAGGGGTAGGGTTGGTGTAGGGCAATAGCACATACAGTTTGTACAGTATAAAAACCATTACGCCTATAGAGAGTCCCCACAATTCACAAAGACAAACATGTGTGTGTGTGTGTGTCTGTGTGTGTGAGAGAGTGTGTGTGTGTGTGTGTGTGTGTGTGAGAGAGTCTGTGTGTGTTTGTGTGTGTGTGTGTGTGTGTGTGTCTGTGTGTGTGAGAGAGTGTGTGTGTGTGTGTGTGTGTGTGTGAGAGAGTCTGTGTGTGTTTGTGTGTGTGTGTGTGTGTGTGTGTCTGTGTGTGTGAGAGAGTGTGTGTGTGTGTGTGTGTGTGTGTGCGCGCGCGCTTGTGGTGTTTTGCACAATATATGGCTGATAGGAAAATGGCAAAGTGCAATGCATATTTTGCTTGTCAAGCAGACTATTGCTTCTGTCATGTAAAGAATTATGTGCAGCTTTCCGTTAATCAAGCATGTCATTCTGTGTGAGAATTTTCTTAACTGAAAACGTCATGCCAGTCTGTCACACAAGACGAATAATGTTTGAATGATAAAAACACTCAGTAACCACAAATTCTTTAAAATATCTCGTTTTTGTTATGTATCTACACTGAAATAAAGTTGAACTGCAAAAAAAGTCTTTCTTACTCAATATTTGTGTCTAGTTTTCCTGTACAAAATCAAGGTACACTTACTTTTTTCTGAAACGTGTTAAAATTAAGTGGGTTCAAGCTTAAAACAAAATTAAAAAAAATATCTGCCAGTGCGGTAAAAAACAAACAAACAAACTTAATTCAGATGGAAAACAAGTTTATTTTACCCCACTGGAATTTTTTTTAAACTTATGTGAATTTTGCTTCTCAAGTAAATGCATCTTGATTTAAGAATGTTTACTGCAAAAAAAGTCTTTCTTACTCAATATCTGTGTCTAATTTTCCTGTACAAAATCAAGGTACACTTACTTTTTTCTGAAACGTGTTAAAATTAAGTGGGTTCAAGCTTAAAACAAAATTAAAAAAAATATCTGCCAGTGCGGTAAAAAACAAACAAACAAACTTAATTCAGATGGAAAACAAGTTTATTTTACCCCACTGGAATTTTTTTTTAAACTTATGTGAATTTTGCTTCTCAAGTAAATGCATCTTGATTTAAGAATGTTTCAATATTTGTCCTGGAAAACAAGACAAAAATACTAAATAAAAAGAAACTGATAGTAAATTTAACAAATAAATACTAAGAAATGGCAGGTAACACATTGAATTAAACATAACATTTTGAAAGTTGTAAGCTTGTTTCCATCATGAAATTAAAAAATAAAATAAAAAAGGTAATTGTTAATTTTTATCTCACAATTAATTTTTTTCCTCACAATTGTGAGTTTATGTCTTGTAATTCTGACTTTTTTTCTCAGAATTGTGAATTCAAAATTACAAGAAAAAAAGTCAGAATTGTTTGATAAAAATTGTTGATATTTTTTAATATTAGTTAATAAAAATACAACTGTTCATTGTTAGTTCATGTAAGCTCAGGTCCATTAAATAATATTAAGATACAACTTTTTCCTTTAATAATGTATAAAGTAAATGTTGAAATGCACATGAAGACTAATATGAAGATTAATAAATGCGTCAGGAGTATTTTTCATAGTTCGAGTTAACTAAGGTAGTTAACTAATGTTAACAAATGAAACCTTATTATAACGTGTTTTCTTGTAAACATGCTCTAATAATCTTTCTTTGATTTGCAACTTCTAAAAATATCGGTTTTTCTCCTGCTGTTCTCCAGGGTTTTTGTTTCTCCCCGGTGGGCTCATGCTCCCGATCTAGGGTGGGGGGGCATCGCCCCGTTCTGCCATGAAAGGCTACACCCCCCAGCGCACCCGTCACCTGTCAGACTGCGAGCCGCCCCGTTCTCCCAGTCACCGGGACCCTCTGTACCCCCCGTCTACGTCCTCCACCCTGTCCCACGCCCCGTTTCTCCTCCCAGCAGCCATGGAGCATTACGGAACCCTGGACCCGTATCACTTCTCCCCGTCGCCTGACTGCCTGATGCCCCTCAACAGCCAGCTGTCCTCCAGCAGCACCTTCCCCCGGATCCACTACAACTCGCACTTCGACCAGGGCGACTTCGGTCCCACAGCCGACAGCATCGGGGGAATCAGCACCGGGACGCTGGGGACGTCTATGTCCATGGGAATGGGTCTCGGAGTGGGACGGACCGCCATGATCACCAGCGGATCCGCAACTATATCGGGTAAGAAATGTAGGACTGTCTTGAGAAGTTGCAGCTAAAGTATGCAGCTAAACATCATAAAAGTAAATGCAACATTGCATAACAAAACAAAACTCGTCTTACTTTCTAAATTGTTTCTTTTTTCATCTTTTAAGCATAAATTTAATGAGGTTTATGTTTAAAACGAACAAAAAAATTTACTTTTTTAATGGTTTTTTTTTAATGAAGTCTCCTCTGCTCATCAAGGCTGCTTTTATTTGATCAAAAATACAGGAAATACAGTAATATTGTAAAATGTTATTACAATTTAATAAACTGTTTTCTATGTGAATATATTGTAAAATGCAATTTATTTCTGTGACCAAAGCTGTATTTTCAGCATCATTACTCCAGTCTTCAGTGTCACATGATCTTCAGAAATCATTCTAATATGCTGATTTGCTGCTCAAGAAACATTTCTGATTATTATCAATGTTGAAAGCAGTTGTGCTGCCCAATATTTTTGTGGAAACCATGATACATTTTATTTTTCAGGGTACTTTGATGAATGGAAAGTTCAAAAGAACAGTATTTATTATAAACAGAAATCTTTGGTAACATTATAAAGACACTTACTGTCACATTTGATCAATTTAATAAAAGTGTTTATTTCTTTCTTAATCTTACTGACCTCAGACTTTTGAATGGTGGTGTATATTCTCTCAAAATAAGTTGTATTATCTGAGACATTTTTATGTAACTTTATCTTTAACAATGTTTAGATATTTTACTGAAACATAAATATGGAACACATAAGATGTTTATATAATGTCTGCACTGCTCTAGTCTGTTGAACTCCAAAAATCAATCAATCAATCAAAAAAAAAAAATTACAGTCTTCTATATGACTCATGCATGTCATATGCAAGTCATAAAATAGAATAAAATTTAAGTTCATTCTCAAATTTTATTTATGACTTTCAAACTTTGCACTTTGTAAAATATTTTACTTGATTTGTGAGATGCCACATCTTCTGCACCGCATTCAATTTTGCATGAAATTTGGACTACCTATGTTGATTCTGGTGTAATAATATAGATAAAGAGGAGGTTTGTAACAGAATAGCAGTTGTTGTTGTTGTCTCCTGTCTTTTAATTAAATCCTTTTTCTGAATATTTACAGTATAAATGAAGTGTTTAAGTATGTCTGATAGTATCCTAATGTGACTACTTGAAAAGCTTTAAAAGTTAATGATTAATTCACTTAAAATATGTTAACGCTTTTTATTTGTAGATGTTGTCTGCATTGTTTAACACTCAGCATGCAAGTTATTCAGATCAGGTAAGGCTAAAAAAAACACCTGCGAAATTAGTGCTGATCGCAGTGTTCTAGGTGCAATGGAAAGGAAAGGATGTGTGGCCAAGTATGGTGTCCCATACTTGGAATTTGTG